TTTTTTAAAATTTTTTTTATAATGTGTATTATTTTTTTATGTTGAACATTTTCTCCCCCATCCCACCCCACAATGCAACCCTTGTTCCAACTTGTTGTCATCATATGTATTCCTTTCAGACCGTTCTTCCCTTCATCTCTTCTAATGCAGTGTTCATTATCTATCCACTCTTTACCCATTCTTTCCCCTATCCCCCATGTCTGTCCTATTTTATAACAGTGTGATATGTAGTATGTCTTTTTGTGACTGAGATATTTCACTTAGCATAATGTCCTCGAGGCTCTCCCATGTTGTGTAATACTTTTATTACTCATTTTTTTTCAGTATTGCATAATATTCCATTGTGTGAATGTACCATAGTTTTTCTGTCCATTTTTTGTTGATGGGTACTTGGGTTCTTCATCTCTTTGCCCTTGTGAATAACACAGCAGTAAGCATAGGTGTGCATACATCTGTTCAAATTGTGGTTCTGGTTTCTTTAGAGTGTATTGTCAGTAGTGGAATTGCTGGGTCAAACGATACTTCTATTTCCAGCTTTTTTGAGAAAGTACCAGACCACTTTTCCATAGTGACTGTACCATTTTACTTTCCCACGAGCAGTAAGAATATAATTTTCAGTCCATCTCAAGTTCTCAAGTTACTGGAAAATAAAATTGAGAGTACAACATTAAATGATAGCAACATTTTATACCAAAACATACCTATTATTATCATATACCTATTCCACCATATAACATATACCTATTCCAGTTCATAGTAACCACCTCTGAACTTGCCCTAGGGAGAAACCAAGGCTGTAAATCTTTATGGAAGTAGATTGATATGTCTTTCTCCTGCAGAGAGTAGCTAGTGAGTTCAAACCCTACCATCTATTTGATTAGCTCCTGTCAAGCTCTTTACTTACTGTACCACCAGAGCACCCACATTTTATACATGGCTCTTGTTTTGCCAAAGAGAGTTTTTTTAAAAATCATAATGGACTTAACACCTATATACAGGGCACAATTTTGAGACCCATTGATCTAATCCATTATTGACTTTTATTTTCTCAAGACCCCCAGTGAAATGGATTGACAATGACTAATAATGGCCATGAGTATATCAGAGATAGTGAGGACAGTTCAGGAAAGAGCCGGTTCAGATCTGTTGTGCAAAGGGTAGCTATGACTCATGACATCTAACAACAGCAGTCCGTCTTGCACATTATTTCTAAATTAATACTATCATCCCGCTTTTTTTATCTTCTCTGCAAATTGCCTTCCCGCAGGGAAGAGTCTGAATCCTCTAGCGTAGTTACTAAATTGCCTTACATTCCATTTGATATTTCTTACACGATCTATAACCTTTCTCAGGTAGGATTATTCTTTGTTTTAGAAATCTGTCTTTTCCTGTTATTTCTGTTTGTTTTCTATTTTCTTGGTATGCTCACCTTCTAAAATATTCTATCCACATTCATGAAGCCTTTCCCAGGGGCAACAGAGTTCCTAAGCCAAGTACTGATTCATGAAGTGCTCAGTAGTAGGTATTTCCTATGACTTACTCAGATTTATACTCTTAAGCATAAGGCATGTGTTTATATACTAACACATGTTGAAAAAAGTATGGTATTATACGATTTTTAGGGGGAAAAGTTATATTTAACATAGTCTCCGTCTAGGCATGCATTATTTTGCTCTTTACTACTAATATCCTATCTGTGACCAAATAACGTAGCAGCCTTGAAAACTGGAAATATCTGTGCCTAATTTTTTCTTTTCCTTCTTTCAGATGAACAGTGTTATGAGACATAAGCAGTATGGTGGGAGATATCCTTCTCCACAGCTGGATCAGACTGGATTTTCGCCATCAGTTCAGTCACATAATCACTCTTTTAACCAGTCTTCGAGCTCCCAGTGGCGTCAAGATACACCATCATCACAGCGTAAAGTCAGACAGAATTCTCATCCTTATGTAACAGATAGAAGTTATAGCCGTGAACAGTGTTATACTGATCATGGTTCTGACCATCATTACCGAGGAAACAGAGAAGATTACTTTTACGAAGATCGGAACCACAATGACTGGAGCCATGAGTATGATAACAGAAGAGACAGTAGTAGAGATGGAAAATGGCGCTCATCTTGG